ACAGAACTTCCAACATGTTACAACATCACTGTGACAATCAATAAAGTACTACAGTACAGAACTTTCATCATGTTACAACATCACTGTGACAATCAATAAAGTACTACAGTACAGAACTTCGATCATGTTACAACATCACTGTAACAATCAAAAAAGTACAACAATACAGAACTTCCATCATGTTACAACATCACTGTAACAATCAGTAAAGTACAATAGTACATAACTTCCATCATGTTACAACATCACTGTGACAATCAATAAAGTAACACAGTACAGAACTTCCATCATGTTACAACATCACTGTAACAATCAGTAAAGTACAACAGTACAGAACTTCCAACATGTTACAACATCACTGTAACAATCTGTAAAGTACCACAATACAGAACTTTCATCATGTTACAACATCACTGTAACAATCGGTAAAGTACTACAGAACAGAACTTCCAACATGTTACAACATCATTGTAACAATCGGTAAAGTACTACAGTACAGAACTTCTATCATGTTACAACATCATTGTAACAATCGGTAAAGTACTACAGAACAGAACTTCCAATATGTTACAACATCACTGAGACAATCAGTATAGTACTACAGTACAGAACTTCCATCATGTTACAACATCACTGTAACAATCAGTAAAGTACTACAGTACAGAACTTACATCATGTTACAACATCACTGTAACAATCAGTAAAGTACCACAGTACAGAACTTACATCATGTTACAACATCACTGTAACAATCAGTAAAGTAATACATTACAAAATTTCCATCATGTTACAACATCACATCTTCGTGTAATTAATATATCTGAATCAAATACAAAATATTGAATATCGGTGTTTAAATTCTTACGTTTGACTCAACAATGTGTTTCGAACCATGTGTTTGTATAATTTGTAAATCTATAAATGCGTGAATAAATAATATGTGTGTACTATGTGTTGTTATCTGTGCAAATAACACGAAAAATCATAAAATACAAATTTTATTAGGTTATGACCCAATTACGGTATACTTACTGAGGGCGTATGTGATCTGATTGAATCATACTGAAACGAAAATCAAGAAAAAGACCAGTCAAAAGTTGTATTGAATTTGTTGAAATAACCGTTTCCTAGGAAGACAAAGTGATAATCGGTAAAATCGTGCAAAGAGAACATTAAAGTCAGGGATGATGTCAGATTAAGTTCTGTTTTGGAACATTGATTGACCTCAAAAACATGCAAAACAAACAAATAATACATGTTAATAAAATTGCTTATTTAAAATCATGAATGGCATAAGTCTTCTTTTTTAATCCGTTAATTTGTGTTTGTTGTTGAGTTAGTCCATGTGGGTAAATCATCAGTGAGGGTACTGGGTAAATATGTGACAATCAATCCAATTCATCTGTTGCCATTGTAAATAGTATCTGGTGATCAGGTTATTTATCATACATTTCATGTTGTACATTTTAATAAACGCAAAAGTTGCATTTCAGACCTAGTCAGATCATCTGTATCTTGTTTGTTTACTCCCTGATTTGTGCTTGTAAGTGTTCTAAGTGTGAAAGTATTAGATATCCAGTTTCAATCGTTATTGGATTCATCAACACAGGACATTTCGTAATATTAAAAAGCATGCACATGGCACATGTTTGCCTTAAAGGTTTTGTTGAATTGACTTTTATCGTTTGCATGACATTATACTCTGAAAAGCAAGCATCTCTAGATTAATCCACGTCATCCCTGCATTTATAGAGTGTATAATGCAATACATACCGTGTAAATAAGGCTGTGTTTTAATGACAGGACATGGCCATATTTTTTAAATATTGTAAAAGTGGTAACAAAATCAATTATTGCAATACCACTTTAGTTATATTTAGTTAAATGTGAATTTTCTTAAATTTAATCATAAATATTGTTATTTTCACTGATTGGGGTTTTTATGTATATTTAAATCAGACGTCTGAGGTGATTAAATAGTTCGTATTCACCATTTTGATATAAGCGCAGGGATGAAGATAAGCTCCTCAGTTTGAACAGATTTACCTCTTATTACTGGGGAAACATCTCATACAGCAACTTTCGAATTTTTGAAAATTGCAAAATGACTCATGTTTGTGACTTGTCTTATCAATACTATTACGTACCCCTCCAGTGCTAACGGTGTTGACTGTGCCATTGTTGCCCGACTGTCCTTGGGAAGGAAAGCGAACCCGGGAAGGAATGATAACACTAATATTGTTGTCATACGGGTAGTCAGGTGGCGGAATGTAACACTGAAACTAAATGAATGATTGGTATATATGATAACACTAGTCAGATGGTGATATGTATGTTATGTGTATCATTCTATTTAAATAATAAATTATGATCTAAACTTAAAACTCAATGCTAGGTTGCTACAGTAAGATTCCAACAGTCAGATAGTGATAGGAACGTATGTATGAGTATCAATCTATTTAAATATGGCTTTTAACCTGAAACTAAAGGATTTATGTTTTCAGTATGTCTAAAACAGTCAGATAAAGATAGGTACGTTTGTTTGTTTGGTTGTTTGAGTGGGTTAACGTCCGCTTCACTACCGAGAAGATCGGTTATCTAGCAGGCGAGTACGAATGAATGAGATATTTTTATTTAAACACATAGTTAGCATTTTTACAACGGAATAAGCTTCTCAACCAAGGACATATACTGACTCACGGAAAGACACTGACATAAGACAAAGGGGGTTAGTCGTTTATATTTCCATTTGCTCTACATTGCCACTATATAACCTTACAAAACAAAATAGAAAGGTATCAGATCATAATTATCACATAATTCCCATTGGTGTAGTCATATGAAGAACATGTTCGTGACGTCGTGACTAAATGACGTCGTTTTGACATATATTTAGTGTAGTTATGTTGTAAAAAAGATGAATATCCTCACGGTGGAATATATTGAGTAAATTGTTGAAATAGGTTGATGATTTTGTGTTTATTTCCTTAAACTATATTGTTTGCCGCGAACGGTCGCGTGTACTCGTGAAGTCACACGAACAGGTTCCATTGACAGGCAGCGCGATTTGATTTTGAAACGCGATAGAGTTTGGAAAAATAAGTATTAAACTGCCATCTTTGGAAAGTTATTGTCCTATAATTCTCACAGGTTTAACTATAATGCGCTAATGATTATTATTCAATTTGTCTGCAATCCTGTGAGAATTATAGGACAATAACTTTCTATAGAAGGCAGTTTAATGCTTAAATAAAACGTATACGGGTAGACGTGTTACGGGTTCCAGCCTCATATGAATGTTTTATAAATATCATATATTATAATATGCACGAAACCAGTGTACTAACTCTGAAATTGCATATTTTTATATCTAGATCGATATCCTATCGACATTGAATGAGTACATGTGCATTTAAAAACGGCATACAAAGCCTCAGCTAGGATCGCGCAAGTTAACAAACGTATACATGCAGTTGTTCGTTCATGGTGTCCCTAGTCACGCTCTTATGAACAAATAATAAATTGAAAATACCGGTGCTCATTACAGTCAATGGCCAAGTTGTAACATAATAGCAAATGAAAGATAACTCTAATGTGTTCATAGAGATCCTCCAGGACTCACAAAGCACGATACTCTCGTCTACTCATGTCGACGCTAAACAGCGATCTTAAGGATCCCTGTCCCACTGCAGACAAAACATTAGATAATTCAGCTATATAAACATACAGTTACCTCCCCTTTTATATATCTCTGTATATTGACCTGGTCAGGGTACTTCTATTGACCAAATAACTATTAAGTGACAGCCAATGTATTGGTTTGGAACACTGTACAATGTATTGGTTTCGAACACTGGAAAATGTAATAGTTTGGAACACTGTACATTTTATTGGTTTGGAACACTGTACAGCGTATTTGTTTGGAATACTGTACAATGTATAAGTTTGGAACAATGTACAATGTATTGGTTTGGAGCACTGTAAAATATATTGGTTTGGAACGCTGTACAATGTATTGGTTTGGAACATTGTACAATGTATTGGTTTGGAGCACTGTTAAATATATTGGTTTGGAACGCTGTACAATGTATTTGTTTGGAACATTGTACATTGGAACACTGTACAATGTATTGGTTTGGAACATTGTACATTGGAACACTGTACACTGTATTGGTTTGGAACATTGTACAATGTATTGGTATGGAACATTGTACAATGTATTGGTTTGGAACACTGTACAATATATTGGTATGGAACACTGTCCAATGTATTGGTATGGAACACTGTACAATGGATTGGTTTGGAACATTGTACAATGTATTGGTTTGGACCACTGTAAAATGTATTGGTTTGGAACACTGTACAATATATTGGTATGGAACACTGTCCAATGTATTGGTTTGGAACACTGTACAATGTATTGGTTTGGACCACTGTAAAATGGATTGGTTTGGAACACTGTACAATATATTTGTATGGAACACTGTCCAATGTATTGGTTTGGAACACTGTACAATGGATTGGTTTGGAACACTGTACAATATATTGGTATGGAACACTGTCCAAGGTATTGGTATGGAACACTGTACAATGTATTTGTTTGGAACACTGTACAATGTATTGGTATGGTACACTGTACAATGTATTGGTTTGGAACATTGTACAATGTATTGGTTTGGAACACTGTACAATGTATTGGTTTGGAACACTGTACAATGTATTGGTATGGAACACTGTACAATGTATTGGTTTGGAACACTGTGTAATGTTTTGGTTTGGAACACTGTACAATGTATTGGTATGGAACACTGTACAATGTATTGGTTTGGAACATTGTACAATGTATTGGTATGGAACATTGTACAATGTTTTGGTTTGGAACACTGGTTTAACGCGTTTCTTATCTCGTTAAAACGTGAAAGTTATCTCGTTAAAACACGGTAGTTATCCCATTAAAGGGTGTTGGTTATCACGTTAAGCGCTAAAGTTTCCTCGCTTAAACGTGTTGGTTATCTCTTTAAAACGCGATAAACAGATAGCAAAGATGAGACAAGTGACGAGAGGTTAAATTTGATTTAACTTGGGTATAAACATGTCCATGAACAAATTCATAAAACTTGTTCGAAATTTGAATTTATCATCAACAACAAATCTTGTGACCGTAGACCGGTATTCATGATAATGTTTTATACTCAAGCACGGATTCATGGCTCAAACTATCGTTCATGTAACTCGTTACAATCGTGTGGAATGATATAAACGACAAGTAAGTTAATAAGTAATGTCCATTAAAAACATTAGAAGAAAATACATTTAAAAGGTCTGCCGTGTACTCATCTGCAAAGGAATAAGATCATTCCTTTGACATGCGTCGTTGAACACAAAAATTAGCGCGATAACTATTCCTGTTTTAACGAGATACTAAGTGTGTTATCGCGTTAAAAGGAGATGATTTTTTTTCTTCAAATGGACATCTGTAATGATCCACTTAGGATTTCGTTTTACAGGTCCTCCCGACAGATTTCTATGAACGTTGAATTACCATAGACATATATTGATGTTTATATTATTGTGAAATAAAATATACGCACAGCCGGTTAGATTATGTAATCATCCCATCATGATACCAAAAAAAGTAAAGAAATCCTAGGAGATAGCGTCAGCGAGTCAGAATATACACATATAGAATATTAACAAGCCAGCACTTGCGCACTTTATCCGGGTATCTTAGCAACGAACCAGAAATAGATAATGAAAACAGTCTGCATTTAAGTTTACACCTGTACATACCTGTTAAGTAAGTGTTTTATTGATTTATGTTTTGTCATACAAAGTATGGATTTTAGGATAACAATACAATTGCAAGACAATATTGGATTACCTGTCAAGCGTATTCGAGTACTGACTTACATGATGGATGTGCGAAAGGTATTTATTTATTTTGTTACTTGTCAGCACGGTCTGGTGTATGTTATTCATACCGAGGTCACATGTATAGTCCTTTGTTGTTCCGAGTGTTGTATAACAGTGAATACAAATGTTTAGAAGATATTTTTAGGTTTCGTTAAACCCATCGTGTGATATTAACATTATAGACTTAATATGCAGATATGTATCTTAGATAGTGTATGTCATTTAACAAAGTGTTTGGACGGTAATATGTCTCATGAAAAACAATCTTGGATATGCTTCAGTTACAGGAACATGCATTGATAGCGGTATGATGTGTATTACCACTTTAGCGATCTACATACAGGTACATAAACAAGCACGTCTACGGGGGGTGTTTCTCATGTGCTGTGTCTGAGGATAAATTCGCAAAGAAGTGATACAGTTTTAATTAATGAGAAATCGTTTTTGTTTTATAAAACAAAAAGAACAGTACATATTAGTGGAAACCCATGCAATTTTGCAGCATTAAATGAAATATATACAGAGAAATATAAGTAGATCAATAATACCGATGTTCACTTAGTTATGTTAATACTGCGATCATATCGACATTTACATGAAACACATACATACGGAGAGCCATAATTTACAATGGATGTATAAGGACGTACCTTGAGTACAAACCAGCTAACGTTTTATATAAAGTAGATAGGTAGGATTAACAAGATGTATGACGGGTAGAAATGATAAATTGTTTGACAGGTATAACTGTATTGATGTTTGACGAAATCACAGTTTGAGTATATGACAGGTACAATTGTCATGATGTATGACAACAACACAGTTTGAGTATATGACAGGTAAAATTGTCATGATGTATGACGAAAACACAGTTTAACTATATGACAGGTAAACATGTCAAAATGTTTGACAAAAACACGGTTTTTATGTACATGACAGGCAGAATTGACAAGATTTGTAACGGGTAGGATTCGGATCTAAAATACCAGAGTTGGATTTGTATTTACAGAACATCACAAAAATAGGAGAGCTGTATGTGAGCCAAAACAACAATTACCAGATATGGACACATAGATTACATTGACCGCTTCGAAGGAAGTGACTTATGTCGAGTCTCTATATAATGGTCATTTTACTAAACTAGCATGTCCTTGAACAACGAAATAGCAAATACTCGTAGTTTCTAGCTGATTATTCAAGATTATTTTGTTTTTAACATTCAAGTGTATTAGTTTCGAGCACGAAGAAAGACATCAAAAACAGAAGAAAAAACAAAGTATAGGTAAAACAAGAATTCGATACCCTTTAGGACAAAATAAAAGGCAAAGTAAATATTTACTCGGAGATACTAGGAAAATGAATAAGACAACTTACCGTCATTTTCACTTGTAGCTTGATTCAACCTGTAAATAATACATAAAAGTTCAATCCCATTCAATGCTAATAAGATGCAACACTATTTGTTAACATATATATATATATAAGGAATATCGAAAGTTCTATTTGTAACATGACCAGTTCTTTGTTTCTTGTTTAGGTAAATGAGAATATGGATTATATTGTAATTTTTCAATATGTTTGTTTATAAACAAAGAATGGTCTTTCGTTTATCAGACGCACGAAGTAACTTACTTTAGGAGTTCTATATCAGACAAACTGCTTTCGCTTAACAACACTGCCGATGTCTGCGTCTTCCTTCTAGTGCCGTAGATGCAATTGTGTACATAAGACACACCACTCAGTTTTATTGATTGTATTTTTCCTTCCTGGTCTATTATGCGTATCTGGAATTCCTAATCATATGCCGTAACATGAATACACACTTGCTTTATTTGCACTAATGTTGCATACACGTTAACTGTATTTGCAATAAATGTTGTGCGAACGTTAATTTTGTGTCACTGTTTCTAATATTTGAAATTTATCATATGCATGTGAACTTTTTATTCTTGAAATTATTTTGTGAATTAATCATACTCTGCACATAGACTTCTTGTTTCTTACACCCAATGCCTACTTAAAAAGTTCAGATAAATGAAGTATCACATTTTCAGTGATAAATGTCGACTGATGACGGACACACTTACAAAACAGGGTTTCCTTACATGCAAATTGATGACGACTACGGACCTGTTGTATGGTCGCCATCATTGGAAATAAACTACCTCTTTGTGTGATCTAAAGGCCTATGTTTTCATTTACGCTGATTATCGTGCCTTGTGGTTTTGTTGTCCCCACCCGCGTTTTAGGTACAAGGTCGAAACATTAATACGATATGACCGAGGTTTGCATGGCAGGGGTCATCAATGAGGCAGACGAATATCCCTTCAAGAAAACAGGTTCTTATTTTCCTGGTATGTTTTCAATGCTTTCAATGTAAATATTTTCATTGTTTATATGTTGCCCTGGATTTATCGATTGGAGTTCATAATATGTTGTTGTTGACATATAGGTACTTTCTTGTTGTTTTGCTTAGGAAACATGTGTGATCGGGGCGAAAGACTAGAAATAAACTCAATATAAATCAAAACATAATTAGTTTACCCAATTTAATTATTAAACTTCATTTATCTTATGAAACGTGTGTTTATAACGTATTTTAACCAGTCTTGCTGGCCAGGGTGGCAGCACACAGACAATCTTTATGTGAGAGAAAACCGGAGAACACGGAGAATGCCCATGTCGTTGGGCAAGTGACCCAATGCACTTTCACGTCCGATCGGACAATCGTACCTTATAAAAGCAAAAATAAATAATAAAGCATTGATCTGTATTTTAAGTCCTTTAAACACACAATAGTAACACTCGTCTAAAGACCTGATATTGATCTGGAAATTCCTACTTCCTTGTCACCGATTTGACACAATTACATAACGTATTTCCAGTGCCCTTCAGAGACCAGCAAATTCATTTTGTAGGACATTTAACAAAGTCAAATATAACCTCAATCCATTACAAAACTGGTGTCCGATTGGCATTTAAATCGTTCATCAGGTCATACAGCACGCTGCCATATTCCCAGCGAACTATGACCAATGTACTCTATCAACAATATTATCATGTTTATTGTCTCTTTTGATGCAACGACAAACTGACTTTTGGTAATTAAAACGTGAATAATGGGAATTTATTTAAACAAGTTAGTTAATAAAGAAATATTTTACGCAACAGTGCAGAAAAAAATCCGTATCAGATTTAAACAGTGGTAAGCGCGTTTGGCCTTACTTCTTTGATATATGACTCGTATGTTTTGGTATGGTGCAACATTTAGGAGCTCCTGTGATATATACAGCGTGTTCATCATATCCCTATGATCCTACTTAACATGAATCGATATGCAAACGTAAATGCATGCAGTCAAATTAGCATAAATAAGAATACATTAACGTAATGGACATGTAATGTGACCCTGATAACACGAATTTCTCCTTACAAACTGTAGATGTATGATTCCTTTTTGACACTATCAGATGATACGCAATACAATATTATCACTTAGACATAAACATGATTCTATAAAATATTCCAAAATGAAGCATTATCCGGTTTGCTAAATAAGTTATATGAGCATTGTTAAGAACCATGTGATATCAATAGAAGGTTATTTGTCTTGATTATAAAATAAATGTTCGGTATTTGTCGATTTGATACTTTTGGCAAAAGAACTTTTATACGAGAAAAATGTGCTTCAATAACAAATACTGCGTTAGTATGATCTATAAAAAAATGTGTTAGCATGGAATTTCCAATTCTGTGTTAGTGTGGTATATCAAATTATGTGTTACTGTGGTATTTGAAATATTGTGTAACTGTTGTTTGCCAAACATTGTGCTGCTGTTGTATATACAATAATGTGTTACTACGGTATGTCATTTCTCGTGTTACTATGGTAAATCAAATTTTATGTAACTGTGGTATGTCAAATGTTGTGTTGTTGTTGAATACAAGATGTTGTGCTGCTGTGTACAGTATATAAAAAGAAAATGTTTTGGTACGTCAAATATTGTGTTAGTTGGGTATGTTAAATGTTGTGTGTTTTAGTAGATGTTGCTGTGGTATATTTGTTATTTTTATATTTGGTTGCTGATATTCACAGGGGTTTGAATTTCGCCAAATTTGCAATAAACGTTAAAATTCGCCAAATTAAAACTCTCGGGAAAATTGTGTGAACATCGCAATAATAAACACGCTTCGCAAGGCTGTGATACACAATTGTATCAGTTTAACTGAGGCTACTAGGTCAAAACATCGTTTTGAAGGACGTAAAAGAAAAATAATCAGTCGTACACGATAGATAAATCTTTCAGTCTAATTATATTGTGGGTCACAACGAAAGCATATAACGATACCATGCATGCATACTATTAGCCCAGTAGCCACTAATAAGTAAGCTAACTCATATAACTTCAGTATTGCAAAGAAATATGTACAGTTTAAACCTCGGCAAGTGCTAAAACCTTTCTTAGCATATCTTTGTCCTGCTCAAGTTTTTGTTTAGCTGACACAGGCCATCTCAAATTGAATGTCTTGATAACGTAATTCGCGAAACTAAACCCCAGTGAATGAGTTCTGAACACTAAATCGCGATTTTTTTTACCCAGCAAAATTTAACCACTATACAGTATATCAGGTTTTTTATATGTGTTGCTATGGAGTATATTTAGTTTGGTGGGTGTTGCTATGGAGGATATTTAGTTTGGTGGGTGTTGCTATGGAGTATATTTAGTTTGGTGGGTGTTGCTATGGTGTATATTTAGTTTGGTGGGTGTTGATATGGAGGATATTTAGTTTGGTGGGTGTTGCTATGGAGTATATTTAGTTTGGTGGGTTTTGCTATGGAGGATATTTAGTTTGGTAGGTTATGCTATGGAGTATATTTAGTTTGGTGGATGTTGCTATGGAGTATATTTAGTTTGGTAGGTGTTGCTATGGAGTATATTTAGTTTAAATTGTTTTTAATGGCTTGCCGTGGTTTATTTACTTTTGCATGTATTGCTGTGGTTATTAGATTTATATGTGTTTCTGTTGTCCACTTAGTGTGTGTGGATATGATGACTAGTTTTATATGTATTCCTGTGGTATGTGTTGCAATGGCATATTTTTTTTAACATAATGCTGTTGAATGGTTTTGTATGTATTGCTTTATTTAACTTAGTGTTGTATGTGTTTCTGTGATATATTTAGTTATGCATGTGTCGCTGTGGTCAATTGAGTATGATATATTCTACTGTGTTATATCTATTTTTGTATTTGTTGCTGGTTTATATATATGTATGGTAGTGTTGTTATAGCAGATTTAGCTTTGTAGGTTTGCTCTGGTATATTTAGTTTTTGCATGTACTGCTTTGTCAGATTTAGTTTGGTTTGTTTTGCTGTAGTAAAATTAGTTATGTATGTGTTATTGGGGCATATTTTTGTGTTTTGTGTTTATGGTATATTTAGTTTGGTTTGCGTTGCGTTGCTATGAAATGTTTGTTTTGTACATATTGTTGTGGTTAATTTATTTGATATGTGTTGCTGTTAAATGGTTTTGAATGTGTTGCTTTCGTATATCTATTTTGTACACACTCGTCAAAAGACCTTGCTACATCAATATGGGGATTCCTACTTCCTTGTTCACACACGCTAACCCAATTACATAACGTATTATCATTGTCATGCCCAAAACAGCAAAGTCATCTTGAATGGAAATTTACAAAGACATTTTAATAGCTCTTCAGGTTATACAACACGCTGCAATAGTCTCACAGATAGGTACAACGTGATTTACTTTATTAGTGATAATGCCGTTCTATCAACTATATAATGAGTTAGTTATCTCTTGATACAATGTAAAACTGACTATTGACAAGTTGTTTAATAAAGTGTTATAGAACTGGATATTTTTCTTAAGAACTTAATTTGTGAAATCAAGCTTTTGTGTGTAGTTACAGTTGATGAGTGTAAGTGTGGTATATCTAAGCATTGAACTGTTTTCAGTTGGCATTCATTGGCAATATAAATGCCAACTGGACAAAGGCATTGTCAAAATCTTGGATTTGCCTCTGTACCGTTAGAATGTATACTGCCTATGAATGCCAACTGAAAGCGGTTCAATACTTATATTCACCATTTTTGGAATCTGTTCATCTCATAGAAAATTCAATTACACTTATCACTAATTAGGGTTTAGTTCAAATAATGTGTGTATCGTGTATGCTTGTTCAATGAATAGAACAACCATCACCCAGGGAGGGTCAGTGGTATCCAACGTAACAAGTATGACGTCATAATAATGATGACGTCAACGATCGGTATATGGCATTCATAGCCTATATGAATGCCAACTGAATTTGGTAGGGTTATAATTATAGTGGCATATCATGCGATGGTAAATATAACAGTGTGTGTTTTTGTTGTAAAATTAGTTTTATATAGTGATGACGCATTCCTTCTTATGTCTTGCCGTCTTATATTTTGTATTCCATATGTTGTAGTAAATTTAGTTTATTGTGTGTTGCTCTGGTGCATTTGATTTTCTATTGTTGCCATGGTATATAATATTTGTATGGCATTGTTGTGGTATATAATATTTGTATGGCATTGTTGTGGTATATAATATTTGTATGGCATTGTTGTGGTATATAACATTTGTATGGCATTGTTGAGGTATACAACATTTGTATGGCATTGTTGTGGTATATTTTATTTGTATGGCATTGTTGAGGTATATAATATGTGTGTGGCATTGTTGTCGTATATAACATTTG